TTATGAAATTTGTTTTAATTATTAGTTATTCATATTTATTTATTATTCATAATAATTAATTTTATAAAAATTTATCATAAAATATAATGTGAGGTGTCAAAAAGTGTAATATGAGTTGTAAAAAAGTTGAGGTGCTTATAAGCAACTCTCATTGGAGCAAAAGTTGTAAAAATATAATATGAGTTGCTTATGAGTGATGTGGCACAGTGGGACCCATTTAAAGTGGTTGGGAGTTGCTTATAAGCAACTCTCATTGTAGATGCTCTAAGCATGTAGTAACTGAACAATTACACAATAAAGGGAATAATATATAACGAAAATATAACTATAATCATCGACTGTTTATGTTTAACAGTCTGGAACCAGAACGACCCGTTCTCGACTCGTTCTGAAACCAGAACGACCTGTTTTGGTTGCTCTCTTAGTGTGTTAATTTTGCACCTGGAACGAGCCGTTCCAGATGCAAAATTAACACACCAAGAGTGCATCCAGAACGGGCCGTTCTGGTTCCAGGTGTTTTCAAAAAATTTGGCATCCACGTGGCATCCACCTATGCTCTATGTGGCATCCACGTGGCCAACAGTTAATTCCATTTAAATAATTTGGACGGAAGTCCGACATTGCAACCAATTAATTTATTAGGGACCAAATTAAGACAAAAAATAAAAGTATGACTAAATTGAAATAAACAATTATTATAAGGGACTAAAAAACTATTTTAGCCATTATTTTATAAATAGAGTGATAATTTTTCTTTTTTTCTCGTTCTGTTTGAGATTATATTTAAGTTTCAGTTTATATTTTCTTTGTAACTTATTTAAGATTAAAGGGATAAAATGGTAAAAATTAGTAGGATAAAAATAATAAATTATTAATTTATTTTCTTTTTGTATCCTCTAAATTTCTACACTCATTTAAAACAAAAATATTTTATGAGTGCAATGTCTATTTTTTTTATAAGAATAAATTTATTTATTTAAATATATGTAAGTTAAAAAAAACTATGTGACAATTACTCTGAGTTCTCTTAACATGGATCCTCTCCTACCAACACACAATATACATATACATATACATGATCAAATGGTTAAAAAAGAAAATAAAAATTGAAAAACAACATGCACTAGTAAACTAAATTATGAGATCTTTAATGAGTAAAAAAGAAATAAATCTTTTAACCAAAAAATACAGTATATTATGATAATAAAAAATAAGGAGGATTTACTTATTCGAAGAATAAATTTTGATAAACTTATTTAACTCAATAATTCATATTCTACATCATTCAACCATTCAATTAAAAGTCTTTAATGTATAGATTAAATTTATAAAATTTTGAAAAAATTAAAATTATTTGATACTTCATTTCATTAATTTAAATTGATAGATAATAGAAAAGTATTTTATATGTTATTTTGAATCTATCTAACAAAATATCATATAATTTTTAATTTTTTAAAAAATTTATAATCTCGATCTATACATGAAAACCTTTTAATTTAATAATTGAATTTTAAAAAATTTGATATAGAATATTAGTTATTGAGTAAAGTAAATTTATCTAGACTTACATTTAGAATAAGTAAATTTTTTCTTCATAAAAAATTGAAATAATTTTGTCACAAAATAAAAATAATTAAACAATAAAATAAAATATAAAAAATATTAATATATTTATTATATTACATATACTAAGATAATTAAAATATAATTAATAATATATATTTTATAAAATAATTAATATCTTATATATATAAAAAAAAGAATGAAAAAAACAAACAACGCAAGCAAATTCTTATAATAAATATTTTAATTACTCAAAACTTGGGATAAATCTATAAAATAAGATGAAGTAGATAACAAAATTTGAAGTAAAATTAATCAGAACAAGACAAAACATGACCACAATAGTCAAAAGATACATACAATAATACAACCTTAGTTGGAAAACCCTTTCTTGATATTCGGTGGCGGCCCTTAGTAATGACAGGGGAACCACGAAACTTTTCTAATTTTTTTTATATATATATTGTAGATGCTCTAAGCATGTAGTAACTGAACAATTACACAATAAAGGGAATAATATATAACGAAAATATAAATGGTAATGATTGATAATGAATATTGGTATCCACTAATTCCCAACCACTTTAAATGGGTCCCACTGTGCCACATCACTCATAAGCAACTCATATTATATTTTTACAACTTTTGCTCCAATGAGAGTTGCTTATAAGCACCTCAACTTTTTTACAACTCATATTACACTTTTTGACACCTCACATTATATTTTATGATAAATTTTTATAAAATTAATTATTATGAATAATAAATAAATATGAATAACTAATAATTAAAACAAATTTCATAATTAAAAAACTTCAATAATAAAAAAATTACATTATAAAAAATATCAAAAAATTACATTATAAAAAAAATATCAAAAATTTTAATAATAAAAAAAATTACAATAATAAAAAAAAATTACATAATACCAAAAATCTCACTATCCCTTCATTCTCTGCACTCTCCCTCCCTACACTTTCCCTTCACTCTCTACACTCTCCCGTCACTCACTCTCCCTTCACTCTTTCTTCACGGGGTCGCGCATGGGGGACGGTGGCTGCTGGCGGTCGCGCATGGGGGGCGGTGGCTGCTGG